AGTGAAGATCAAGATCTTGAGGTTATATTTTGAGATCTGATTTCACATGACTCTTAACTGTGTAAGAGATAAAGACCATGCTCATAGTTACCACCCTTGTTATTGTTCCCCCAATGCTTGATGTGCTCACAGGTGGGGATTTTGGAAGATGAATGCATCATGGATGTTAGATGGGGGATTAGGGTGCGCCATGTGGGGTTAAGGGTGTGTGATAACTAAATGAGTTTAGCATAATTCTAGGTGTAGATAACGCAAGCTTCACCCTGGGTGTGGGTGGCACCAATGAATACATCTGCAGTCCGGAGGGAACATAAAGTCACAGAGAAAGGCACGCCTGCTGGCTGCTTACTGCCTCCTGCCCGCCCTACTATGGACTCCTCTGTCATGTTCCCCTGCTTTGGTGCCAGAAACTACTGCAAACTGTAAGGTTAAATAAACCCCCTTAATCTTGTGTGTTGGCTATTTTGTCTCAGTAATGAGAAAAGTAACTGTGACAGGCCCTCACTCAGTAACCTAATACATCAGAAGGGAGAAGTACAGGAATAATATTCAGACCAACACAAGGACATGGCTGCGTTCTGCTGGCACATGTCCATCCAACCTTGCACATCTAACTAGGGTGCTTTACACCACAAGGGATGTCACTTGCTGTCTTGGCAACATTTTGGAGAAAGATATTTATGTCTAAAAAGTGCTTTTTCCTGCTCTGTGTGGCACATAGTTTTTCAGAATCTCCAGACTCCATCAGAATCACTGTAGTGGTGACTTTTAAGAACACAGGTTCTTAATTCCTTTTTTTTGAGACAGGGTCTCTTTATGTAGTTGAGACTGACCTGGAAATCACTATGTAGCCCAGGAGGGTATTGAACTCACAGTGATCCTCCTGCCTCAGCCTCCTGAGTGCTGGGATTACAGGTGTGCACCACCATGCCCGGTACACAGGTTCTTCATTCTTATTCTGGATTTAAAAATCAGAATCTTTTCGTCCTAAGATCCTGATGATTCTATTTGTTTAAGAACCCAGGACTAAGCAATGCTCTTCAAGATTTTTGGACTGAAAAAGAAAACAATAAATTATCCAAATTCGGGTAACAATTCATATCTGTTACTGCAGGTCCAAATCCTGAGTAGTCAGCTCTGGAACTTGGGAAGCAATAGCTCTCATCCAGCGTCCTACTCGGAAATTCCATCACTACTCACACTCAGGTCTACCTGCTTTACTGCCCCACAGAGAATGACCAACTACTAAAAGGGGCAAGTTAGCAACAGAAGAAAGGCTGGGCAGTTTTTGGCCTCCAAGTCTTCAGAGTTTCAGTCTAGCCCTTCTCTGATCTTCATGCTCAATGAGCAAATCTCTAAATACCCAGCTGGATTTTCATTCCCACCTAGTCTGCAGAGAGGAAGTTTCCATTAAGGATTACGAAGTATACCTCCAGATACTACGTTCATCTTAAAATATGACAACACTTTATCTTTTCTCAGCCTCCAATCAAAAATTCTTCACCACATTTGCTTACAACTCGAAGGCGCTAAAGGTATGCACATGTATGTGTTTATGTACATGTATTCAGTATATTTATGATTAGTATTTCTGAAATATGTATATTTTAAATACCTTATGTATCATCACTGCTACTGTTAGTATTAAAATGTCAGCCATCACACCATTGTTATTTAATTTTGGATGGAATGTGCAGTAAAAAATGAGGAAATAAGAGCTACGCATTTTGGAAAGGAGGCAAAATTATTGCTATTTATCTGACTGTGTATCTGAAAAAGCTAAAGAAATCAGGTGAATTTTATTAAAAGCAAAGGGATTCAATAAATTCTGAGTGGTTATAAAATTTTAAATAAATAGCTTTTTATTCTAAATAATGTTATTCTCCTAAATGTTTAAATGCAAGTGTGGATTCACTATTTTCAATTTAGTTAAAAATATCTTGAAACTAAATATGATTCTAAGTATGTTATTCATTAATAACGATATAAATAATAACCAGTTAAAAATACAGTGGAAGAACAAATTCCATTCACAACTGTGAGAATTTTTGAAAGCAATGAGAAGTAAATTTAAGAAATGTGTAAAATCTATACAATGGAAACTTTAAAATTGCATAGAGGGTCATCCTGAAAGATTTCAATGTATGTAAAGATGTATCTTGATCTTGCATAGGAATATGTTTTCTCAACAATATAAGTAAGGTTGAAAGAAAAATTCAAAGAGTAAAAAGCAGTATAACAGGTGAAATAGCTAATTTCTGACCATATGGAATGTGCTCTACCAATGTCAAATGAGACTAAGCAGAGAATCTGGGTGTGAGGTATATGGGAACTCTAATGTCTTCATATTACTTCTGTGAACCTATGCCTTTTCTAAAATTAAAAATTTGTTTAAAAATGAATATATTCTATTAGTGGAACACTACCAAGAAAAGAGACAAGACCCTTTTGAGTAAATGATAAAACCCATGGAGACAGGAAAATTTTTACATATAAAGTGCATACCACGTCAGGGGGTCACGGACTCGATTCAGAGTTCCTTTAATTGAGTGGCAACACTTACCTTACCTTGTGGGCAGTGTTTTGGGAATAAGGCTAAAGAGTGGTGGAGGGACAGGAGTAGGGTAGTCACAGATGTCCTGCCTAGAGTGCGAGTCTAGTTCCATGCTGCCAACTGACTGCCTTTTGTGTGTGTGTTTTTAATCCAAGGGATTTAAAATTGGATGTTGTAAGGTCCAGATCATATCACCCTAATTGCTCCGTGTCTGAACTGTATTTTTTTGGGGGGTGGGGGTTGAGACAGGGTCTACTATGTAGTTGACTGACCTGGAACTATGTAGCCCAGGTTGGTCTCGAACTCACAGCAATCCTCCTGCCTCAGCCTCCCCAGTGCTGGGATTACAGCCGTGGGCCACCACACCCACCTTGTTTGTTTTTTTGTTTGTTTGTTTTGAGACAGGGTCTCACTATGTAGTTGAGACTGACCTGGAACTATGTAGCCCAGGCTGGTCTTGAACTCAGAGATCCTCCTGCCTCAGCTTCCCGAGTGCTGGGATTACAGGCATGTGGTGTAAGACTTAAGTGTCACTTTTACTCCTGGAGCGTGAACAGCCAAGAGGCTTCCACGATGCTGGGCTCAGAAGCTCAGCGAGGCTCCAGGAGCTAGTCGCACAGCGAGAGTCACCCAGGAAGGAACATACCAGGCAAGTTGGCAAATAGACCTTTATTAGTCTGGCCAGACGGCACTCCCCAAGCCAAGTAGCTCAGAGAGGCGGCTAGCTCAGAAACAGAGGCCATTTTATATAGGGCTTAAAACTTACAGGAAGAGGACAATGGCAAAGAGTCAGTTGATCTGAGCTAGTGGTCGTCATGTACTAATGATCAGCAGAGTGATTATCCATTGTTCCATTTACAACCTAGATCATCATAAAGTTCAGAACATTCAGACTACAGGCATGCAAGGAGTGGCGTGACCTGCGTTGGGTCTCTGTGTTCACTACAGTTTCCACCTAGTTTCCCAGCTACTCCAAAACAGCCGCCTAACAATTCACAATCATTAGCTATCCTATAAGGGATGGGGGGAGCGACAGTCTCTAGGTTGTTTGCTGGTCAACATGGAGTCGCTCTGGTTCAGTCAGACTCCTACAGTGGGACCACACCAGGCCTAACTGTATTATCAAACAAGATGTAAAGCTGTTTGAGGCCAGAGAGGCCAAATCTTTTACAATGTGCTTAAATAGCTATCAACTAGTTATGTGAGCTTTGTTATTGGGAAAACATACCTGATACCTGCAATTAAAAGGTTTATTTTTTTCACAGCTTCACTCCATAGCCAGCTGGCTCTAAGGCATGTCTGTGGCAGAAGGGTGTGAGCAGGGCATAGCAGAGCCTATCACCCCATGGCCCAGAAGCAGAGAGCTGACTAGATAGAATCTCCAAGATCATTCCCCCAAGACCAACTTCCTCCAACTTGGCTCCACCTCTAATAACACATTCAGCAAATGCCCTCGATCCAATCACCTCTTCAGGAGTCTGTTAATCCAGTTAGACTGACAAGATTAACTTGACACATGGTTCAAAACCACCCCAGTTCAGGACAACTTGCCCTGTCCTGAAATGCTAGTTCTTTTCCTTAAATTCAGCCCTGATGAACATTGTATATTAATTCTCCTGAGGGCTATTACTAACCACTGGCACAGTGCCAAGGCAAGTGACCATACTTACAAGGCTAATTTAAAAAAATGCTTTTTAGGGGATGTAAATTCATAACATATTTGTACAACCCTGTTAAATTTTATCCTTTAAAATGAATTCCATCTGCTAAGGTTTAAATTGACTTAAGTAGCAAATATTTATACTAGACAGACCATTACTCACGATTGTTCCCTCTCATATCCCTTGATCACTTTGTTCCTTTCTCTAGAGATCAGATTTTTCACATTTTCTCAATTTAATAATAGAACCTGCAGTCCCTAACTTACAACTAATTTTAAGTTAAAAAGGCGGGCCAGGGATTTAGCTCAGTGGTTCCACTGCCTGCCTCACAAGCACAAGGACACGAGTTCAATCCCCAGTACAAAAAAAAAAAAAGATTAAGTTAAAAAGGCAACAGTATTGTTCCAGTACTGAGGCCAGTACTTTTGTTGGCTACAGTGCTAAGGTTAGAATGTACAAAGGGACAAATGTAGCTGTATTTCCATCTCTGTACCTCTGAGTGAATACAATCATGATGCCAAGGATGGAACTCAGTAGTGCCACACTCGCCCAGCAAGCACAAAGTCCTCAAGTTCAATCCCCAGTACAGCAAAAAAAAAAAAAAAAAAAAAAAAAAAAAAAAAAAAAAAAAAAGTAAATACAATCATAATTCCAAGGTTGACTTATATGACTCAATGTGCTGCAAATTACAGGTCTGTATTTAAAACAAAACCACCAACGCCATTTTAGTGAAAACTAGTTTTATTTTAAAATTAAGTGCATAGCACTCATCTAATTCCACTGGTGTAGACTTTAGCACCATACTATTTGCAATTAATGTCATAACACAGGTACATTTTGGTTTGCAGTCTGTTCTTGAGTAGTGTTTATTTAAGTGGACTTTGGTTAAGCCCTTATACATATCATTAATCTCTTCACAGTACACATTTAATCATGGTCCAGTAATCTCAAAAAACAAAAACACTTGACTAATCAATAAATTAAACAAAACAAAACCCATACAACTTCCCTCCTCTAACAGTTGTGATTTGTATTTATATTGAGACCTATTTTAAAAATGGTTCTGGTTCTTCAACCATCCCACCCCATCCTGGGTATGCAGCAACTGTAATCAATTATTTTATTCTACCCTCCCTAAAGATTCCAGTGTTCTTTAGTTTTTTAAATATAAATTGGGAAAGCATTAATAGGCTTTTAAAAAAGGCATATTTTTCTACAACAAGAATGACATATAAACCAATCAATAAAAGCATTTGACAAGACATTAAATTACCACAGGCACTGGTCGTTGTTTCAAGTTAGGATTTCTATCCCAATATCTCACATTCATAGCATTACTGAGGTAGTTAAAATACTGAAAATTGGACTGGGTTCTATGTGAATGTGAAAGGTGTATTATTTCTTATAACCTACTTTCCTTCCAAATAATTCAAGTTTGCTTAAGGTAAGAACTATTAAAATCCAATTAGCAGCCTTTTAAAAGAGGGAGAGGATACTTTCAGAAAACAATTTTCACGCTTGAACACTGCAACAAGTAGGTGTTCTTACCTGAGTGGTTTTTGTTTTATTTACCACACTAATAAATTCACCTCATGCCCTAGGTACTCCAGGTAGGTATAAAAGTTATTTTCTTTTTTAAGAAAGGGTATTTCTCTAAGAACTCATGCTGTCAGAAGCCATCCAACCCACATTCATCCACTGGAGCTGTCGGCATCAGTCCATTACTGTGTTTAGCCCCTTACCTTCTTAACAAAGGCCACTGGCTTGATTACTGAGACTCCTGCTGCATACCCACATCTTTAAAATAAGTTTGTCTTCAATGCATACTGTGGTGGTCACCTATCTGCCATGCAGATTTTCTATTCAAGTGCTATCTTTAAAAACACACAAACAAAATAGACACAGCTTACTAATTTTTAAGCCAGATAACTTCCCTCCACTAAATCTCTTCTCCCAGATAAGAGCACAATGTATAATTTACCAGTTATGACATGTTTTCCTTTTAATCCCCCCTGTAATGTTTTACTCCTTACTTGCCCTGGCTGTAACGATTACTATTGCTGTTCTTATTCATTACCAGTACAGTGAAATGTTCCCGGGCAGCTATGGGGCCAATCTAATGAAAGTGACTACTGAAATTTAGTGATCAGCACCCTTGCCTGCTTAGACTGACTAGCTGGATTTCAAGGTTGCTTATAAAACCTGTCTTTCATATACAAAGTGCTATTTAGCACAACCTGAGTATTACCCTGGCCATCTTCCACTCCAAAATAAACCTATGCGACTTTATTTCTGTACTGATACTTTACAGATACGTCTTCTCTTGAAAAAAAATTTTTAAAGAGTACTATCAAATCTGAGTATAAATCAGATTGCACTGAGAAATGCAAAACTTATATAAGTATTATGAATCATAGGAACTACCACTTCATTCTGTGCTACAATATTATGTTCTCATTTGAAAAGTATTCTAACCTGTTATAAACGTAGTTCACACTATAACATTTCCAAAGCATGTTGCATTACAGTTAAGTGTAGTTAAGTGTTTCCAAGTAGTACAAATTCCCTGAGTTAAATGTGTTTTAATTCTAAAGACTTAAGGTTAATCACTTAGGGAAAAAAACAAAACAAGCAAACAAAAAACCCCAAAAATTATGACCATGATTTCGATATGAGATCTACTACACCCCTAATTTTAGTACACAAATCCAGATACCTATTATTTATGATAGGAAAATTATATAGCATAATTTGAAAAAAAATTTAAACGCACAGTTGGTATAGCACATCAACTTAAACTTGTCAGAAATTCATCTGTAGCTCAAAAGTAAAATTCAAAACTGAATTTAAAAAAAGGATCTCTTCAAAAATTAATACTGTAACTTTCCTTCATAAAAGACTGTTTGGCAAGTCCACAGATAAACATGAGTCTCTGACATATAAGTGAACATAAGGCCCAGAGCCTACCACAGGTCAAATCTCAAAATGGCAAGCTGGAATCTGTCCTAATTTTCTATTGAATATTTTTGAAATAGTTGGACCATCAGCCAGGCTTGATTGAACATTTCTGTCACACAAGGATTCATTGTGACAAGATCTGACAAATACATCGTTAAAATGTTTGCCAGTTCTCCTAGGTGTTCATGGATTTTGGATTGATATTCAGTCTTCCTGGTGCTGGTACTTGAAGATTTCTGATGTTTTTTGGATTCCTTTTCTTCTGAAGCCAAGGTTACAAAAAGGATGCCCCCAACCTTGAAGTCACAAACAGTCTGGGTCAGTTTTTGCCTTCACACACCATCACCTTTCAAAGCATGGAGTAATACAAGGGTAATGTTCATTAATCTGATAGCTCCGGTTATAAGAAACACTCAGACAGGGCTTAACTTCTACTGGAATTGCCAGGGACATCCCAACACCAGTCTGCACATGCCCAAGGCCCTGAACACTAGTTTGGAAGCTTGCAGGACACGTCTGTAGTGTGTAAGAGGAGGTGTGTGTGGTAGATACAATCTGCTGGCAGCTGGGTTGCTCTGATACTGGATGGCGGTACTGCAGTGAGGTTTGTTGAGTCTGATGGAGATATTGAGGCTGCTGAAAGTGAACTGGCCGTGAGGGCTGAGAGGCTGTCTGGAACACACCTATTTGTGCTGACTGAGGGCCTGCCTGTCCTCTCTGTTTGTTTGCTTCTTTCACATCATTGTCATGAGCACTGAAATATGGAAAGAATGGAAACAACATTAATTGAGAAAAATCTGTAAGAAAGTTCCACCTCCACCTCTTCAACAGCTGATTCCATAAAATCCCAAGAACACCAAAGCCTCCATTATATCTTTCTAGGTTGGGAGATGTATCCACACATTTGAGTATGGCTGCCACTCCTGAAACATCCAGGTGACTCTTGAAATTCAAAGATGTAGAAATGGGACTGGGACAAGATTTGCCTGGATTGATTTAAGAAGAGTTATGTACCTACAGACATACAAGAACAATTATTTTCTCTATCATGCACCTAGACTCATACTAGCAATGACAACTTCTAAGTTGTTAAGGACAAGGGGAGCATCCCTCCACAAAGTCCTGCTCATACAGTGGGCTGCTCACAGCAGCAAGCAGCGGACAGAGGTTAATATCCTAAGAGTGCTGTGCCTTTTAGAAGTAGTTTTCGGTACTACTTACACATGAAGAAAAATGTTAATGAGAAATAACAAACATAAGAACAAAAGGGCTTACATCAATAGCCGTTCAATACACTGCACTAGGAAATCCCACGAATAAGCAGTAAGACGATGTAGTCTTGTAGGCCACGTTGGAGAAAGTCGAAGTATAATCCTCGAAGAAGCCACACATGCAGCAGCTACTAAAGAAGGTGCATAATTTAGAAAGGCATAATCTGTGGAGACACCAAAAGTGAACTTAAGCAACAGAACACACAAGTCAGAAGCACGTAAGTCACTTATAGGTATTCACATCAACTCACCTTGTAGAGACACTTCTAGGAAGTAATCTGCGTATTTAGCCATGTAGAGTTTAGTTTTTTCCAAACATATCATTGGCCAGCCATCATGAAGATCTGTCTCATGTACTGCTTCAGAGAGATAATACTCGATGAAATGGGCAGCTGTTGGAAGGCAGAGGTTCCACTGAAAGGTTTCTAATAGTAACAGTTCCATATGTAGCAAATTCTGTTTTGTTAACACTAGATTCATATTAGTCATACAACCCAGGCTGTTGAGCTGCTCCAGCTTAGGCACACTATCTTCTTTTTCTTCAAATTTACCTTATAAGAAAAGGGGAGGTGATGGAGAAAATGTTAAGCCAGTGACTGTTAATAGGTCTAGTCAGTTAAATGGGATTTTGTCTTACTGTCAGGATTTAGATTCAAAAATATTCTTTCTCCTACCTTACTGAGATAGAATTGTGCCAAAACTCTCTTCTGTTATATATTTGTATATGTTTTCTTTCCCAGTACCACTGTCCTCTGCTTATCCGTGTCCTCTGAAAATATGCTTGGGATATGTAAACATTTTGATTTGTGTTCTAAAGTATAAAGGTAATAGTCACATGTGCCAAAAACAAAATAGCTTTGTCAAATCTCACCTGCTAATTCAATTCAGAAAGTTTCATTTGTGTGGGTAGGTTGTAGTGGGTGAAAAAAAGTAATTATTTTAGAGTAGAATATAGTTTAAATAATTTAAAATTACAACTTTACCTGAAATAAAAATAATTAAGCTTCAAGTGTTTCATCTTAGTGTATTTTCAGCATAATTCCAGGGAGAGAGAAAAGAGATCTGGGAGTGGGGGAACTGGTGAATATCTTAAACAAGCATTACAATTCTATACCAAACTCCATACCCCTCTGCAGAATTCAAAACAAAAATCTACTTAAATCTGAGACAGGGGAAGAGACAGGCTGATTTTCTATCTTCTTTTAAATTCCCTTACTCAAAGCTAATTAGGAGCAAAGACCACTTGACAGCTGAATTTCATTATCTGAAGGCTTATCTTTTCAACACTCTATATAAAGTTTTTATTATGCACAGCTGAAGAATAAGATTTCCTCTCCAGCCCTAGGAAAAATGTAATGCTTATCTTACACTTTGGTTTCCAAATAAGCATTTTACTATGTATAAAACTGGTGTTTTAGCTATTTCTGTAAATTATAGCTCCAGAAAATTCAGAAGATATCAATTACTACAGTATTAGATTTTCCAGATGCAGCAATAGAACAAATAGTTGCCTTCAAGTCTTCTTGGGTCTTTGTTCCACGGTGGTTCATGGAAGAACAGAAATTATACTGGAAGCCTTCTACTTACCAGTATTGTGTTCTACTTTTAAAACAACCCCATCACAACTGTAGATTTCTCAGAACAGATTTTGCACTTATCCTTGTTCATAACTATCATTATTAGAATATTTTTAAAAAGTACACTGAGAAACCAAGCTTCCCCGTAAAATTTCCCTTCTAGAAGAGATGGGTTTGTATCACACTTTAAAGTTGCTACAGCAAATAAATGGCAGAACCCAGGGTCACTCAGTGCAGATGCTCAATGTGTAGGTAATGGTGCCACAGCCAGTGGTGGTCTGCTCAGATCCTGGGGCTGGAGAATACAAACTGCTTGCTGCCTTGTGCTTTGTGTAACAAGTGGAACTGGGACTGAAGGTTTTGTCTCTGATGCCAGGAGATTCTATGGCATCTCTGGAGAAAAGGTGACTGGAGAAAAACCTAAATTTAAAGGACAGCAATGTCTTCCTGCTCCAGAGGCTGAACTTCTTTGGATCTAAACAATTCTTTCAGCAAATAATGCTGCAAATAGGAGATGATCCAAAATTTACATCCTTTAGACTTTAAGAGTCCAGCTATCCCTTCTCAGTTCAAATCACATAAAAGATGAATTCATAACTCTGACCAACAGTATATATTCACTATAGCTGAAAACACTGAAGCAGTCTTTATGACATAGTTATCCAGCATCATCACTAAACAGATAAAAGAGGAAAGCCACTGCTCTCAGTATAACAGAGTGAAGAGAATGACCTAGGAATTGGTTTAGGCTCTCTGGATGAATCATTATGGCTTTCAAAGCACCCTGGCATTTGTGTAGCAGCAACAATACTGGCAGTGAACTTCAAAAGAATACTGTAAAAATTAATGAGTTTATGTCATGCTTGAAGTTCCTTTGAAGAAACTAACACACCATAATTCACCATAATTCAAGGATGTTTCATATTATCTTCTTGTGACTTACAACATCAAAAATAAAATTGTAAAGGACCAATTTCACAGCTCAAGAAACAAAGATAATGAGGTTGGCCAATTTATTTAAAGTCAAGTAAGTTCAATCAAACAAAAAATGGAAGCCGAAAGGAAGACATATGTTTGAATTCCTAAATCTGTCTTTCCAAACCAAATACTGTAACAGATTATAGGGGGAAACTACAAGATTGATAGATTTCTATATCTTCATGTATGTGGTAAGTATTCAGCTATCATAAATGTGAAAGACTTTGGATACTGATTTGCAAAGTTAAAAATAACTGCATAAATAACCACACCAAACTCTAATACAGACTTAAATTTTTTGAAACTCATTATATATGATATATTCAGCTGTATGGATATTAAAGAATATAAAAAAGCATGTGTGATAACATCAGTAAGTGCCTGCTTCCATGTCTATAGTTTTTATTATATTTAATGTTATATGTGTATTTTTAACCTACTTATCCATAAAGATACACACAGGTCACAAAAATCAGCTTCTTCAATTGAAAGGAAATACTGGAAGCAATGTGATTATATTGATAAAGCCCCAGACAGGAAGTAAGGGCACAGGAAATTCCTATCAGCTTCCCAGAAAATGAAGAGTCAGAAGCCATAGAAACAAAACATCAGGTTTTCTTTCCTTTTGAAGGAATGTTCAGATCAGCCATGGAAACCAATACGTGTTCAAAATCAGCAGTGAATGGTGGATATGTGGTAGGGAAGATTTGAATACTGAGTAGGGCACGGATCTGATAGGACTGTTACTGTTGCCAATCCACATTCAGCTCTTTCATTACTAAGTGGGAAAGACGCCCTTAACACTAAGAATCCTCCCAAATTTCTAAGCCCCTAGTCTAATGGAAAAATACATGAACAGGAAAAGTTAACTCAGAAAATAATCTATATTCATTAAAATTTAAGATGCAATTCAAACCAAGTGAGTTGCAATTGTCCAACTAACAAGACAGTACAGTAAAAAGTTATAATAACCCAGTGTTAGGGTTAGTGAACAAAGAGATACAAGCACTTATTACAAATTGTTACCACTAAAAGCCTATGATTTTCACTTTTGGCTTTACTCAATTTCAAGACCATTTCTCAGTTATATAAAACTGTGCACAAATTACCAGAAGTCTCATCTCTAAAACTGGTTCCAAACTCTCAAATTTAATGCTGGCCACAGAAGCCAAGGAAGCCAGGTTTTATGAAAGAATCAAAATATAAGAGTTTCCCTGGAAACTGGGTCCATTTTAGAATAAGCCAGAACCTATGGGATAGTAGCCAGGCTAAAGATTAGAGAGCAGCTTATAGGGAAGTTAATCCTTACAATGCTAAGCCATTTATGATTTAATTTCTAAGTGATTTTAAACACATCACCCTATTTGATCCTCACAATGTTGTAAGGCAAGGGTTTTTATTTCCACTTTACAGATAAATAACCTGAGACTCAAGGGTTGTTGAAATTTACACCATTGTTGATTCCAGTCCAGAAAAATCCATCGTGACAGTCCCTGACCTAAAACACTACACACTGCTCTCCAGTGGGAGATAGTGTAGGCCCTTTCTTCCTACCTCTAATAGTGCAGATAACAGGCAGTTGGGTATTAGTTCTTGGAAATTACAAGCTATGCCGTGTCTTTAGCCAAACTACCAGTAGCTATGAGCTACTCTTCACTTTCACACTCTACAATACCCATCCCAAAGTAGGGAGGAGTTGGGTGAGGGTCAGAACACACAGATCAATCCTTCTTTGAGGAGAACAGTAGTATCTGAATGTTTATGATAAATAATTGGATAGCTGCCCTTGTTATCTAAAGAAGATAAAATGTGAGAATGGAAGAAACAGAGAGAATGAATTCCACAAATTTAAAACAGGTACCAGACACTGAAAACAGGCTATCAGTTTATATAGCCTTTTTTGCTGCAGTTATAAACTCAGCTCTTTCAGTAATAAGTGATAACTCACAGCAAACAGATCTAAAGCCTCATTATAGAGAAAAAGCTTTAAAAACTACTTATTATTATATAGATTAAACCAAATAATCTTCACTAAAATAAACGGATCACAACTTAAATGGTAATACATAAGTTAAAGAGAAGACCAACACTCCATTCCAATCAACCTATGGTAGTTCAAAAAACAAATTCCCCTCCTTCCAGTTGTGGATATTATAGGAATTCGGCACCAATGCCAACACAGTGACTAAAATTCTTATTAATCAATCATAGTCTTCAGCAAACTTTAATAGTGACATGTCATTTATGAATATCTATTTTAGTAGTCTCTAATTCATTTGGTAAGTTTTTAGTAAAGTTCAGTTGCAAATATAATTCAGCCTCTGAACTGACTGCACCATGCAACTATTTCATAGTCCAACAAAATGAGCCTGCCCTTCGGCCGGCACCATATTTTAAGAACCACAGGAAGAACGTGTGGGACCTCGTAGTGAAAAAATAACAAGGGTAGTCACAGCAGACAAAAAATTTACTTATTAATAATGATCCCTTGGGCTGGGGATTTAGCTCAGTGGTTCTGCCGCCTGCCTTGCTAACGCAAGGACCTGAGTTCAATCCCCAGTACAAAAAAAAAACAAAACAAAAAACCCCAAGTTTTTAAAAATAACCTCACATATGTCTATTTCCACTGCCTTTTTATTATGAACTGATTCTATAATGGACAATAAAGTCATTATATTTGTGGATTCTCTCACATATAACCCTTCAAGTATAGTTTTCCCAATCTTACAAAAACTAATAGGCCTTGAAGGACTTCATAGCCAGTGATGAAACACATAGGGTATTTTATACATGACTTATGAGCATGAAAGTTTAATTAAAAATTAAATTAAAGGTTAATTAAAAATGTACAAGCATTACCTCTCTGGCTTCTGGGCAGAATAGAGGCAGATGTGTCTGGTTCTTAGAGGATACTAGATTGAAAGGAAATGGAGATCTTCAGGAAGTACATTAGTAGTATTCTGCTAAGAATTTGGCTCAGACTGCATGGGATAGAACTGGATGATGAAAATAGAATAGTGATTATGTCTAGATGAAGGTTTTAAGTACTACATTAAGGAGTTCCTACCGTAACCCACAAGCAATGGGAAGCCATCACTACAGCTATATTTATTTGCACTTTGGTTCTACAGGAGATTTAAAATAACCTACAGAAAGATATTCAAGGGGATGAAATAAGCAGTTGAGATCATCAGATCATAAGAATAACAGTAGGAAAAATAAAATCTAACTGAAGATTAGTACCAGAAATGATCACATTGGACTTCATTTGATTTTGGGTTTATTAGAAGTCACAGCACAAAGATGTTTTAGAAAGAGCCTTGGTGCTTTGCAGTAAGCAGTGTCTGGATCTCAATCCTCCAGTGAGGTCAGAAGTGAAAGCTCTATACTGACAAATCTACATACTACTTTGAAAGGTACTTTATAAGGACATGGATAATATAAAAACTGTGTTATCTACCTAATTTCGATATTAAATGCAACCTTTTTACATTACTAAAAAAAAAAAATTCAGTTTTTTTTACTTGCCCTCTCTCTTCAGTGAGGGTACTAGCAAGCAATGAAAGGAGTTATAGAAGATGTTAAGAGAAAGAGGCACCAAAAGGCCTAGGTACACTCTGTATTATATAACACATATGGCTGTATTAGTTGGTTTAATACACAAGCAAAGATTTTCACAATGATAGCAGTTGCACATGAACTTTCAGTTCATTCAGCCAGCCTGTCATATACTCAATAGAAAGTATTCCAACAATATAAAAGTATGCCTTTACAGCAGTTTCTCAATTTCAACTCCACTGACATTTTGAGTCAGAGAACTTTCTTCTGGGGAACTGTCCTATGTATAAGCTGTTTAGCAGCATCCCAGGAATTTATGTATTAAACCCAAGTAGCATCCCCCCAGGATGTGACAACCAAAAATATCTCCACACAATGACAAGTGTCCCCTGTGAAACAAAACTGCTTCTGGTTTTCTTTTTCCTTTCTCTCCCTCTTTTTTAATTTTTTTTTTTTTTTTTTTTTTTTTTTTTTTTT